GCGGCGGGGAAGCCAGTGGGGGTCCCGGGCGGGGCCCGGAGCCAGGCTGGCGGGACCCGAGGCCGTGGGCAGAGCCCCGGCGCGGAAAGCGTGTTTTGGCGCGTGCACGGCCCGAGCAGGCGTGGGCCAGGAGGGCCGCGGCGTTCTGGGGGCGGCGGGCCCCAGATGAGGCCCGCCGGGCAGCGACCCGAGTCGGGGCGCGAGGCAGTGTCTGCAGACAATTGGTTTTCACACTGGGCTTGGGGGGCTGCCAAACACCCGCATGAGCAGGAGGGCCCTTGCCCTAAGACGCACCCCGGAAGTCAGCAGCCCTGCCAACATTGCAGGGACTTAGAGGGAGGGACGGGGGCCAGTTCACACGCAGAGGGGTGCAGAACGACACCCCGTGTTCTGGGGCGGAGGGCAGCGTCCACTCAGCACATCTGCCCGGGGACTTCCACCGGGACCCTCGCGGGTTCCCAATGGGCAAGGGCCGGGCTGCCCAGTAGGTCCTGGGGAGAGGTGGCTAATGTGTCTGGGGAGGTGTGTGCGTAACTCTTGGGCTGAGTAGAACGTGGGGCGTGGGCACTTCAGACGGGGCGCTGTGCTGGGCTGGAGGGGCAGCAGAGGTGTGACCCGGCCCTTGTAGCATGCATGGGCCTGCAGGGCTGGGTGGGGTTGGCGCTCAGCTGGGACCAGGTCAAGCCCTGCCTCTGGGACCGAAACCCGGGGGTCACCCAGCGAGGCGTGCAGACGCAGGGCCCCGGAAGTCGGGGGAGGTGTGGCTGCCACCAGGCCCAGAGCAAGCTTTGGGACTTGCTGGGGGGTGGGGTACATATGTAGTCAGCGGTGGGGGCCAGGGGTGCTGGAGGGGGTGAGGCTGAACAGCAAGGAATTGCACTCAAGAGAGGTGAGGTCCAAGGGCTTATGAAATGCCCAGGGGGCGGCTAGCCGAGACCCAGGGGATGGGTGGGTCTGTGGGCGCAGGTGGGCTGGGCTGGGCTGGTGCTCCCCCGGGCAGAGGGAGAGGGGCCCCACCAGGTGCAACAGCATATTTCAGACCCAGGAGAGAAGAGTGTCAGTGGTGTGGGTGGGCCCAGAGCCAGGTCTGAGGCCTGCAGTCGCATGGACGTGAGGCTGTGGGCAGGATGGACAACCCCGGCCCCTCCCGGCAGCCCGGTGCTTCAGACCCGGGCCTTCCTGACTTGCCAGCCCTCGTAGAGCCGGAGAGCAGTAGGCTCCCTGGGTCCCAAATGCAGAGTCTAGAGGTGTGGAGGGCCCCGACCATGCCCACAGTACCCAAGTGCCCCCGACTCTGCCCCATGCTGAAGTGCCACAGTCGGTCACCAGGGGGAAGGCGTGAACCCCAGAGGCCACCCTCCCTTGGGTCTGGACCACCATCCTGACTAGGAGAAGTTCCCACCTGGTGACTGCCCTCAAAACTGGTGCCCACCTCAGAGCTTGGAGTCTTGGGCCCCCGACCGGCGAGGCCTGTGCCCAGCAGGGGCTCTGCTGTTGGGGGCCGGTGTTTCAAGGTCTCCATCACACACTTTCCTTGCAGGTACCCACTCTACCAGGTGGGTGGCCCCCAGCTCCGCGTGTTCCGCACCAACTTCTTCATCCAGCTGGTGCGGCCTGGCTCGGCCCAGCCCGATGACACCGTGCAGTTCCGGATCCCCCTGGAGTAAGCTGGGGCGATTGGAGGGAGCGATGCGTGAGTGGCCCACCGGGTGGGCTGCCACGGGGGTGCAGCCAGCAGCCCGCTCAGTGGGTCCCGGTGTGGTTTGGACCCCATGGCTCCTCGGGCGCCTGGCATGTGGCCCTGCTCCCCCTCCACCTGGGGGTTCCCCTCCAGCGGCCAAAGCACTGGGGCGTTCTGGAATCTTGGGGCCTGTTCTTCCCTGCAGCACAGCCAGGCCCAGAGGCTGGGGGCGTGTGCTCTCCTACTGAGGAGCCCTCCCCACCAACAGGCACCAGTCCGTGTCCGCAGTGCCAGGTGCCCCTCTGGGCCTCATCTGCGCTTGTCCTAAAGGGCAGCAGCACTGACCCTGGTTTACAGACAGACGCTGCAGCCCCGACCTGGGGTCACACACTGCCGGCCCCCGTGCCCTGCACAGACCTCAGCAGCCGTGGACGTGGGTGGGCCCACCAGGCCCTGGATGGTCCCTTCTCAGCAGTGCCACCCTCTAGGGTTAGGTCTGTTTGTCTGGTGCTGGCTCTCAGAGGGGTGGCCGCAGGCAGTGAGGGGCTGACAGCCACGTTCCAGCCCCAGCCGGGTGGCTGAGTGCGTGTGTGCCCGGCCCGGCCGCCCTCGCATGCAGGCGGGGCGCCCTGAGCCCTCAGCCTTGGCGGCCTGGGTCAGCCTCTTCCCTCCTCCTGACCAGGATGACCAGGGTGGACCTCAGGAACTACCTGCAGAGCATCTACCAGGTGCCGGTGGCGGCCGTGCGGACCCGGGTGCAGCACGGTGAGTGTGTGGCTCCCGCCAGGCCCACCGCACAGGCCTGGGGATGGGCACAGGGAAACCGAGGCCCCGGGGTCACACACGGTAGCAGAGCAGGGACTGGGCCCAGCTGCTTTGAGCGCTGATTCTGCCACGTCTTGCCTCAGGGAGTGTCCGAGCTGGTCCCTTGTCCCCGTGACCTGCCAGCCCCCTACAGTGCCCCCAGTGCAGCAGCCCCGCTGCCTCGGAGACAGGGTCCCACGCTGAGGTCCTGCAGCTGTAGCTACAGTTCTCTTCCCCCCCTTGTCCCTCTGCTGCTGACCTGTGTCCCAAAGCTGGGACCCTGCCCGCCCCCTCGCCGACCGTGGCCCAGCACCGAGGGCACTGTTCCGATGGACTCAGGGTGGCTGCATTTCTGAGGGAGAACGAAATGACTGGGGCTGCACCCCTGAGAGTGTAACTCAGTGTGTTCTGCAGTCCCTTGGGGTGCGGTGGGCTGTGTGTGGCCGTGCTCGCTGTTGACACTGTGGGCCCTCGTTTTCTGAAATGGGGCTCTGGCTCGGTCATGCTCGGAGCGGAGAGTCATTCTCCCCTCCTCTCCCTCCCCCAGGTTCCAACAGGAAACGGGACCACAGAAACGTGCGGGTGAAAAAGCCGGACTACAAGGTCGCCTATGTGCAGCTGGTGAGCCCCAGTGTGCTAGAGCCCAGGGCCACCCGATCTGTGATCTGTCACACTGTGGCCTCCCAGCGGGCGGGGCGGGGGCCTGTTCTGGGACCGGAGGCCCAGAGACAGCTCTCGGGGAGCCAGGGTCCCGAAGTCTCTGCAGAGCCCCAGGGTTGCAAACAGAGTAGCCCCTCGTTGGGCTCGGGCCCACCAGGCATGAAGGGCCCTGTCTTCAGTGCTGTTTGGGGGCCCCAGGTGTGGGCCAGCGCAGTGCCCCTGACACCACGGGGTACCACCACGGGGCTTGGGCACCTCCTGCCAGATGGGCCAGTGCTGTGCTCTGGAGGCCTGTGCACATCACAGGGGCTTGGAAGCTGCTGTCTGGGGTGGCCCAGCCCCCAGGAGAAGGTCTGGTGTTGCCCCAGCAGCCTTTGGCTGTGGGCAAGACCAGCAAAGCCGAGCCTGGGTGTGGGTTCTGCGCCGAGTCCCAGGGGAGGCAAAGTGGTTAACTCAAGTGTCTGTCCTGCTCGAACGCACTAAAGGCCAAGATGCCCAGCCTGGCCCCAGCCCGTGGTCTGTGGGCAGTCCCATGCCCTCGGGGTCCCTAGTGTGCACAGCCCAGAGGGAGCAGGTACTGGGCGGGGCACTGGGGTCCACCACTAGATGGCAGTAGCGTTATTGGGAAGGTGCCCTGGCGGCCAGCTCGATTCTAGGCGTGGGAAGGCCTCGTGGAGACTGGTGGGGGTGGCCGCTTTTTTGGACACGGTCACGTCTGTTCCAAACAGGGGTCCGCTCAGTATTTGACCCAGTAATTGCTGTGTGTCAAGCCAGCCAATCCGGGCGCCTGGCGTGGCCACTGGCCTTATACAGGCCTGTGTGGCCTGGCGTGAAATCGGCAGACATCTGTCCCCGGTGTGGCATGTGGGTTGACGTCCCTGTGCCGGCATCCACCGCTAGCCACTTCAGGAGGCGGGCTACGGTTACAAGTAGCTTTTAGTCATCCGAGCCCCCGCATTCTTCACGGGGCCCCACCTCGGCCCTGAAAGCTGACCGGGCCGGCCCCACCGGGTGCCTGCAGCTGCCTCTGGGATCGGCCACTATGGGATACACAGCACAGCAACTGGGCACAGCCGTGGCCCGAGCTGGCCTAGCCCTTCCAGAGCCCCAGGGCTGCCAGGACGTTGGGACCCAGCCTGCTCACAAGGGCCCCTGGGCCTTGGACCCCTCTCAGCCACATGTCCAAACAGGTCTTTCCCTCTGGGCTGGTGCACCCGGCCCCTGTGGGGCTTCTGACAACAGCATGAATTGTAATGTGCACTGAGACCACCAGATCCGCCAGCTGAGTGACAGGCTGCAGAGAGGTGCCCAGCCCGGGGCCCACACTTCTCCCCTGATAAACGGCCCTGGCCAACCCCTGTTCTCTCATAACAAAGGCGCTCTGACAGGCTGAGGGAGCCACGTTTTAATGACAGGCGGGCAGCAGGGAGGCCTGGGCAAAGACAAAAGCCGGAAGGGCTACTGTGGGCGCCTTGGAGCCAGGCTGCCTCCGCCTCAGAGTGCTGGCCTCCCCTTCCCTGTCATGCCCTAGAGCTTTCAAGTTCAAGGTCACTGTCATTGGAAAGGGGCCGTCCCCACAGTTGCCTGTGGCCTGGGCACCCACAGACTGCTTGAGGCGCCCAGGGTTTCTCCATGTCCCCTGAAGCCCCTGTAAGTCATTGTCTTCATAATGTATTTCCAGGTGTCATTTCAGGCTTTTCCTGCCCTGACGAGCTAACAGTCCCATCATGATAGGACACCCATGTCCCCGACCTAGGCAGTCGCCCAGCACATGAGCTGCCTCCCTTTGCTGTTTCCAGAAGGGCAGGAGCCCTGGCTGTGGGAACGGCTCCCACGCCAGTGGTGCTGTCTCCCTCTCAGCAGTGGCCTCATGTCCCGTGTCACGGGAGCCGTTCCAGGCCATCCTAGTCACACCTGGCCACCTGCCCACGTTTCTCCACAGAAGGGGTCTCTCAGAGCAGCCACGTGGGCACCATCAGACTGACTAAAACTGTCCAGGTCCAAACAGCCTCTCCTGGTCCCACGTACCCAGAAACGGCGGGGACAGAGGTGGGGCCGGCTCCTCTCCCGCGCCTTTGCTGCGGGTCTCCCGAGCGGCTGGGTAACACTTGCAGATGAAAAGGCCCCAGGCAGCAGTATCCCCATCAGGCCAGCCCCCCGCCCCGCCCCACCACCCTCTGACCCACGGTGGAGGATGCAGGCCCGCTAATGCACTGGGCCGTCCTGGCTTGTGGGCCACCGAGGTGGGCACTTCTCTTGACGACCCTGAGCTTGTAGGGCCTCTGGGCACGTGGGGTGGGAGCAGCGCCATGCAGCAGTGACTTGCCTTTGACAAGGTGACCCCCATGCGGTGCCTGTGACGAGAGCCCATGTGGTTCGAGGGCACCGTGAGGGGAGGTGGTTCCCTGTCTTCATCAGGCAGCTGCGAGCCAGGCTGCACCCGGCCTGCCTGACAGCCGAGGTCTCATCACAGCTGATTGAAGGGAAGATGGGAGAGGAGGCTCTGTCCTTGTCACAGAGTGTGCGGCAGGTGGGCTGCCTCCCCCCAAGGGGCATTTCCGCAAGAGTCACGGAGCCCGGGCGCCCACCTCATTGTGGTCCTCTGCGTCTGTGGCTGGTGCCCCAGGAGAGGATGGGCCCCGAGCATCTGATGCCTGTTCCTCTAGGCGCACGGGCAGACCTTCACGTTCCCCGACCTGTTCCCTGAGAAGCCGCCGGGCGCCGAGGGCGGCACTGACTCGGACCTCCAGGAGCAGCTCCTGCAGGAGCAGCAGCAGAGGCAGAGCAGTGACCCCAGGCGTGGCGGCGTCCCCTCCTGGTTTGGCCTGTGACGGGGACGGTGATGCACCCGGCCTCTGCAGATGCTAAAACCAGCCCCGTGACCCCAATAAAAGCCTTGCTGTGTGGAGAACGAGCTGGCGGCTCCGTCTCCTGTCCCTGCTGGCTCTCTCTTGCGTGCGGCCTGACCTATGCTCCAGGGCCCTGGCTGCTTCCTGCCTCCCATCTGACCAGTACAGCCACGTGGCTCTCGGAGTGGAAGGGGACTCAGGGCTGGATGAGGCAGGTGGCACCTGCCGCCAGGAGCGTCCAGCCCTCGCCCTGCTTGCTCAGGGGTAGTGACAAGTCCTCAGAACAGCCTGAGGCTCCGTGTGAAAAGGCAGGAGGGGCGAGGTGTGGGTAGGCCTGTGGCCCCAGGGGATGGCAACAGAAGAGGTTTGGGGGAATTTCCATGCAGGGAGCAGCAGGGCTGCGTGAGGGCTGGCCCGAGGTCACAGTGCAGGCCAGCCCTGCCGAGGAGCAAGCAGAGAAGTGACTGAAGCCTGGTGGCCAGGGCTGGGCCCCTCCATGGCCGTGCGTCCAGGTGCAGCCACCTCGCCCTGGGCTGGGGCCATCTCCTGCACCCAAGGGGCTGAACGCTGCCTCCCGGCCCTGCCAGCCGCCTTCCAGCCCATTCCAGAAGCAGGCCGGGTGCACAGCGGCATCGCCTTCCTTGGGCCGCCCAGGGACTGCCCCGGTGAGCTGCCCACTGCCGGCGGCCTTTCTCTGGCTCCAGCGGCTCAGTCGGCTTTCCCTGCCTTCCTCCTGACAGGGCGGCTGGGGAAGGGAGACCGGGCTCCTGACAGCCCTCCCGGTGCCCCTGCAATGGGGGACACTCACCTGCGTGGGGACCCCAAGCCCTGGCTGCTGCTCTGTGCTGCCTAATCTTCCTTTGCTCGTTGGTAGATTTTTAACAATATGCTGTTTTTAGAGCACGTTCTCGGTCACCCCTCGACAGGCTGAGGTTTGGGGATCAGGCAGGTGGGGCTGATCTCTTCCCAGCCCTGCACCTGTGGCCCCAGGCGCATGCAACTACACAAGGGTGCGGACAGGGCCTTGTTGAGCCCTTCCGGGCGGTGAGGGTTTGCCACGTGGCCAGGTGTGCAAGGGGGGCAGGGGCTGGCTGCAGGCCAAGGCCCGGGAGTGGGGCTGCTGGGCTGTGGGAGCACTTGGCGGGTGGAGCCGTGGACAGCGCCAGGCGTACAGGTGCTGAGAGGCCCTGACGGGACGGAGAGGGCAGCTGTGGCCGAGGGTGTGGGTAGGTGCCGGAGTGGCCATGAGGAGGTGGGGCGATGAGCAGCTGGAGGGCACGTAGGCCAGCCGGTGGAGGGTGGCGGCAGGGGACTGGGGCTGCCCTGTGAACGTTGCTGAAGACGGGCTCTGCCTGGTTTTGGACCTGCCAACTAGAGGACAGGGAGCTCCTGCTGGCGCTCACCTGAATGTGAGTGTGTGAGTACAGATGTGCGTGTGAACCTGCGAGTGTGGGTGTTGTGTGTGTATGAGTGTGTGAGCCTCTGTGAAGTGTATGAGTGTGAGCCTGTGTGAGTGTGGAAGTGTGTATGTGAGCCTGTGAGTATGGGTGTGAGTGAGCATATGTGTGAGTACAGATGGATGTGTGAGTGTGGGTGTTGTATGTGTATGAGTGTGTGAGTCTCTGTGTAAGTGTATGCATGTATGCATGTGAGCCTGTGTGAGTGTGGAAGTGTGTGTGTGTGTGAGCCTGTGAGTATTGGTGTGAGTGAGCATATTTGTGAGTACAAATGGATGTGTGAGTGTGAGCCTGTGAGTGTGGGTGTTGTGTGTGTATGAGTGTGTGAGCCTCTGTGAAGTGTATGCATGTGAGCCTGTGTGAATGTGGAAGTGTGTGTGTGTATGTGAGCCTGTGCGTATGGCTGTGAGTGAGCATATGTGTGAGTACAGATGGGTGTGTGAGTGTGTGAGCCTGTGAGTGTGGGTGTTGTGTGTGTGAGTGTGTGAGCTTCCGTGTAAGTGTATGCATGTGAGCCTGTGTGAGTGTGGAAGTGTGTGTGTGTGAGCCTGTGAGTATTGGTGTGAGTGAGCATATGTGTGAGTACAGATGGATGTGTGAGTGTGTGAGCCTGTGAGTGTGGGTATTGTGTGTGTGTATGAGTGTGTGAGCCTCTGTGTAAGTGTATGTGTGTGAGCCTGTGTGAGTGTGGAAGTGTGTGTGTGTATGTGAGCCTGTGCGTATGGGTGTGAGTGAGCATATGTGTGAGTACAGATGGGTGTGTGAGCCTGTGAGTGTGGGTGTTGTGTGTGACTGTGTTTTGAGTGTCAGCCTGTGGGTGTGAATGCACGTGCGTGTGTTGCGTGTGAGTGTGTGGGTGGACGTGTGTGTGTGTGAGTGTGTGTGGGAATGAGTGTGTCAGCCGGTTGGCCACTGTGAAGAGGGTTCACCTGGAGCTGTGGGGACTGGGGGAGCCCCAGGAGAACCAGGTCACACCGCCTGTGACAGGGTCACAGTGTGCTCCCGGACCACAGCCTCCGGGGCTCCAGAACCCTGTTGCTCCAGAACCCTGTTGCGCCCTGGTGGTCCAGCCCATGGGGCTGCTGCTGTGACCTCTGACCCCTGTGCAGCACCGCCCCTCCCCCAGAGCTGCCAGCAGGGGACACAGCCCTGAGGGGGAGGCCTGCGTCCTTCAGGGCTGACTGAAAGTCCTCCGGAGGCCAGGAAGTGGGGCGGGAGGGAGGGATGGTGGTGTTTTCCTAACAGAAATAATTCACGGGCCGCGGCCTCGGGCCTGACTGGCCCGGGTGGGGGAGGTGAGGCCTATCCGTCAAACACTGCAAGGTCGCCTGTATCGCGTCCCCCCAGCTGTGGGCGCCCCACACAGCCCTGACCCGCCGCCTCCTTGGCGCCTCCCCCTCCTGCAGCCTTCAGGGAGCAGGGGCCCAGTCAGGGGGCCCCTCCAGCTCCCCAGCACCCCTGGTTTAGCAGAGTCCCTTGTGTGGGCCGGAGGCCGGGGCACCCCCGCGCTTGTCCTCATAGAAGTCTCAGACTGCAGACCCCAGGCTGCAGGCAAGGGGCCGCGCCCCTGACGGTGAGGGCCACTGAGCACATCCGAGCAGCCCTCCTGGCCCCAGGAGGGGCGGTGGGCAGGGTGCAAAGGGAGACCTTGTCCCCTGGCTCGGTCTTGCAGGCCACCTGGAGCCCACTGCCTGGCAGGGCCCTGGGTAGCTGGGGCAGGGGTGTAGCTGCTGGGGGGAAAGAGGCGCTGGCAGCGATGGGGGGGTGTCACACACAACCCCCACGCCTCACCCCCTGTGCCGGACCCCAGGCCCCACAGAGTCTGTCAGGCCCCTGTCACAACTCTCAGGGTTCCCTCACGCCCCCTGGCCTCCCACAGCCTCCCGCCTGCAGGCTGCGATCCACCAGCCTCCAGAAGGCTCCCCGCCCTCCGTGCTCCCACCCATGATGGCTTGGGGACAGGCTAAGAGGCAGTGTCCCTCCAGAGACATGGGTCCTGATCTCGAGCCTGGAGTGGGAGGAGAGAGTGGATGGGCAGAGAATGCTCGTGGGGGGCTTCCAGGGAGTGGCCCCCAGCAGCAGCCCCCCAGCTGCACTCAGGGATGACAGCGGCTGCTTAGTGCCCGTCCCCAGCCCACTCCCTGTCCTGAGGTTTGAGGAAGAAAGGGACCAGGGCCTTGGGGGCCTGCCTCTGCTCTGGGGAGCTAAGGACACCTACGAATTGTCTTCTGTGACTCAGTCTCCCCTTCTCTGCAAAGCCAGAAGATGGCGATCCATTTGCCCCACTGTGGTGGCTGGTCCCCCAGGGTTCACACCTCTTCCCTCCATGGGGACCAGGGGCCTCACACTGCCCACCCACCAGGCACCTAAGTAGAACCATCATCTGCTTGCGCTTCCTGCAGAGGGACCTTGAAGGAACCTCAGACATTGGGAGGCTGGGCGTCTTCAGGCATGGTGGCCACTGGCAGAGGGCTGACTGGAGTGGGCCCTGGGGGTCGGGGCTCTGCCTCTTCTGTTCTCAGGGGTCAGTGAAAGGAACACATGGGAGCTGACGGCTCTGCCTACCACACCCACACCCCGTGCTCCTCACGGTCCCTGAGAGGGGGTCTGTTTACTTTGCAGGAGGGGATGAGGGACTGAGAGGGAATGTGAGGGGAGGCCAAGGCCACTGCTTTCCAGGCTCCGGGCTCTGGACTCTGGGCCCATCCCCCACCCAAAACACTGGCTCTGCTCCTCCAGCCAGGAGCCTTCTCCCTGGTGACCCTCATCTGAATGTCATCTCAGCCCCATGAGGCCCAGGCCAAGAGATTGGACATCCCCCATGGGAAAAGACCACTGAGTCCCGTGTCCTCCCCTCTCTGCAATGCGTGGCCCATTCAGCCCTGAGACCCCACATTCGGCCCGTATTGGGTGCCCCGTCTTCTGGCCCAGGACTCAGCAGGCCTTCTTCCCAGCCCCTCCTAGTACAGCTCCCTGCTCCCAGCAGGGGACCCAGGAGAGTGACGCAGCCACTCCTCTCAGCCCCTCCAGGTCTTACAACAGCGAGGAAGCTGAAGAAGCAGGGTCCCCTTGGAGTAGATCCTGAGTGGCTGTGATGTTGGGGCTCCCTTCCCACCTCCCAGTGGTCATGTGGTTGGAAACTCTATCAGTTAAATGAATGAGTGAATGAGTGAGTGACTTGTGAATGATGGACCAGAAAACCAAACCCACCAATTCAAGAAGGTGGCCCAATGACCTCCACCCAGCCAGGCTAGGAGGACTGATTATCCCCTTGTCCCTGGGACTTTGAGAGCTCTGTCAGGCCCTGGCCTGTGGCGGGGTCCCACAGGAAGTCTGTGAGGACACGAGTGAGGTGGGGGTCCAGGAGTATCCCCGTGTTCTCAGGCAACTGCTATCACTTGCAGCACTAGGTGCTACCCAGGGACACCGGCGTCTCGCTGGGGCAGGGAAGAGCCAGGCTTGGCACACTTTCGTGTTTTTTAAACAGTTTAATTGAGATAAAAGTCATATACCACACAATTCACC